GGGCGCGCCGTCGCGAGGACCCAGACGCGACGGCATCGTAGGCAAAAGTCAGGGCGGGAGGTTTTTGGCCGTCATCGGCCTCGGGGGGCCCTCGCCGGGCCTCGGGGCCGTCCAGGAACGGCTCGGGATGAAAGCCGGTCCCGGGGCAAGGGTCGGGGGCTTCCAGGGGGCCCGCACTGAACAAGTCAGGACGTCGCATGCCTGGGACGCCGCGAGGAGCCACGCCCAGAGCCCCAGGCCCAGCTCTTGCTGCGCCGCTTCTCCCCTGACTCCGGATCCGCCCTACTTTGGGGGAATTCGTGAGTAGGGCTTGGAATTTCCGCCCTACTTTTCAAGCCCCGCGGATGCCAATTTCCGCCCTACTTTTCTGTTGCTGTTTCCGCCCTACTTCTGTGGATTTCCGCCCCACTTGGTGTGCTGTGTGCAGAAATGTCCGCCCTACTTGTTCGGCATCTTATAGGTGGATTTCCGACGCAATTTTGAGTTGGAAGGAAAGCCAAAGCAGGGCGGATCTGGAGTCGGGGTCGAGCCGCATACGACCCGTGAGGGTCCCGGGGCCCGAGACTGGGCGAGACGCCCGAGGAGTGGCAGCGCCCGGATCCGGGGGCTCGGCCCTCCGCCGGCTGCCGGCCGCGCGCGGAGGGGGCGCGGTGGAGGCCCATGCCACGAGACGCCCTGCTTGCCTCCAGGTTTCGCAGGTTTCGTGGGTTTCGATGGTTTTCGTGGGTTTCGTGGGTTTCGATGGTTTTGCGATGGAGAGCGCGACGTTCCCACACCAGAACTCCATGGACGTCCTGGGGTCGCAGGGTTGGGCTTCTTGCGGGAAGTTTCTGGTGGTCGAGCTCCTACTGCAGGGGTGGGGGGAGGGGGGGGAGGCCTCTTAGAAGCACCTCTGCTTCCTAGACGGCGCAGGACTCGTCCGTAGATGCAGTGCCGCCGCCTTCGGAGCAGCAGCCTCCTTCCAGGAAGCCTTCCCCCCCCCCCCCCCCTCTTCAGGGGCGGCCTCGGCGCCCCCTGGCAGGCCATCCCCTGCGGTGGCGCCCCCCCCGCCTCGCCCCGAGACGCCTGCATGCAGCCGCAGGGGAGCTCTGGGGGCGAGGCATATATGCCGCCGCGGGAGTGGCTTCGCCTGCCGGGGCTCGGTGGGGCCGCGCCCGACCTCTGCCCCCGCCCTCCACCTTCCGCACCTTCCGCGCGGCAGCTGCCGCGCCGCGGCGGACGCCGCCGCCGCCGAAACCTCTGCTGCGGCCGTGGCGGCAGAAGCCGCAATGGCGGCCGCGGCGGCGGCCGCCGCGGCGTGGAACCTGCCGCGCGGAAGGTGCGGAAGTTGGAGGGCGCGGGTGCGCGCGGCCGGGGCTGGGAAGGCCGCGGGCGCCGGCCCGCGGCAGAGCCATGCAGCCCTCCTGCGTGGCCCACGCCGTGTACCTCGTCGCGCCGCACGGGGAGGCCTGGCGGCCCGCGCCCGCCACCGCGAGCGGCGACGCCCGGCTCTTCCACAACGGCGCCCTGCTGTCCGGGCGGCCGCCCCCGCCGGCGGCCTCGGGGCGACGAGAATCCCCGGACGGCCTCCGGCGCGCTCTGTTTCCATCCGAGCTGCGGGCCGGCGGAGTCGAGGGCACGCCTCGGCGGCCGAAGGGGGGGGGGGAGAGCGAGAAGGGGCGGGCCTTCGCTCAGAAGGCTCGGGAGTCCCCCCCCCCCGGCCTTCCGAGAAGTTTTCGTCAGCCCTCCCCGAGGGCGCAGAACCCCCTCGGAACCCAGACCCCCTCGGGTAATGAAAAAATCATGACGGGAGGTTTTTGTACATTTTCTGCCCCTGGGGGCCCTCACCGGGCTTCGGGAGCGTCAAAAAACGACTCAGGATGAAAAACCGGTCCTGGGGAAGGGGTCGAGAACTCTGGGGTCGACGTAATGAAAAAATCATTACGTCGGGGGTCTGGGAAGGCCGGAGGGAGGCCTTCTGAGAAGCCCCGCCACCTGCTGGGAGGGCCTTTCTCCTCCTCTTGTCCCCCCCTCGCCCGCCGCCGAACCATCCCGGCCTCTCCCGGCTGCAGTGCGCCAGGGTCGGCCCCGAGGTGGCAGCCTCCCGCGTCGACGCTGCGGCGGCCCCAGCGCTGGCGTTCCAGAGGTCGAACGCCGCCGTCGTCTGAGAAGGCTTTCTCCTTCTCGTTCCCCCCCCCTCGCTCGAGCGAGGGAACGAGAAGGCTTTCTCCTTCTCGTTCCCCCCCCTCGCTCGAGCGTTTTTCGGCCAGGATCCTGGCCGAAAAACGCCCGGATTGAACATATCAGATCGTCGGGCCGCTGAAGAAGGAACCCATTTCGTTGGGGAGAGGCTCAGTGTTCTTTCTACTTGTTTTGCAGTTTGTCTCAGGTTATCCACGGCTCTTCCATGGGAACTCGAAGTTTGACTCATGCAAAACAGGGGCCGAGTTCCTCACCTAGGGTTCCTCACGGAAGCGTTTCGATGAGATCGTCGGAGATCTGGGTCTGCACACAGCCGCCGCCCCTGGCCATGTGCGCCTCCTGGGCCCCGAAGGGGGCGGTACACATGCGCCCTCTCCTGGCCATCTTGGGCGGGGGGGGCAGGTCCACGCCGCTCCTGGGCCCAGGGTGGCCCTTGCCAGTGGAGGAGGGGGAGGAGGAGGAGGAGGAGGAGGAGGAGGAGGAGGAGGAGGAGGAGGAGGAGGAGGAGGGAGGAGGAGGAGGAGGGGAGGAGGAGGAGGAGGAGGAGAGGAGGAGGAGGAGGAGGAGGAGGAGGAGGAGGAGGAGGAGGAGCACCGCTCAGGAGGGTCAGAAACAGACCCAGATCTCCGACCATTTATTTTTTCCCCAATCAGAGCTTGCCTCTGTAGGGGTCCTAGCGGATTCATATTGTCAGGTGAGGTGTGCCGCCGATTTCGGTGGCCGGCCCCGGGTGCACGGGGGTGCCCGGGTGCACGGGGGTGCCCGAGGGGTGCCCGGGTGCCCGGGTGCCCAGGTGCCCTTTAGCCTTATAGCCCTATAGCCCTATAGCCCTGTAGCACGTATAGCCCAATAGCCCTATAACCCTATAGCCTTATGTCATAGCCTTGTAGCCTATAGCCCTATAGCCCTACAGCCCTATATTCCTATAGCCCTATAGCCGTATAGCCATATAGCCCTATAGCCCAATATCCCAATTGCCCTATAATAGCCCTATAGCCCCATAGCCTTATAGCCCTATAGCCCTAACCCTATAGCCCTATAGCCCTATAGCCCCATAGCCCTAAACACATTATGATGTGTTTTTTTCTCCGGTGTCATTTATTTTGAAGTCCAGGCGTTTTTCCTTGATTCCGGCATCTGGGGCCCGTTTTCGGGCCCCGGGACCCTCCTCAACAACGGATCCGGGACGCAATATCACCCCCAGGGAGGGGGTCGGGAGCCCTGGGGCTGCGGATTGAAATCCTATGGGAGGATGTCTGAGGACCCTGACACCCGCCGACATGATCTTTTCAATCCGCGGCCCCAGAGGTCCCGACCGTTGGGCCCGAACACGGCCCTTGAGGGCCGAGGTCGAAGGCAAACCGCCAGGACTGAAAACTAGCTTAAAAACTTGGTACATCTGGGCATGTCGTCGGAGATGTGCAGGAACATCTGATGGAAAAGACAATTAGCCTGGCGAAGGACCCAACCATATGCAGTTGTGCGTAAAGCAGTCGTGGGCATCGTCTTCGGTGGAGCTCCCTATGGGGCGACGAAGCGTGTGAGGGGTGTGCCGAACTGGGTCGAGGGGCGTATGCGAACTTTGCCACGGGGGCCTTCGGTGGAGCTCCCCTGGAGCCACGAAACGTATGATGGGTGTGCCGAATTGGGTGCGGCGGCGCCATGCGGGCGCTGCCATTTGGGCCTTCGGTGGAGCGAGTGCGGCGGCGCCATGCGGGCGCCGCCATTTGGGCCTTCGGTGGAGCTCCCTTTGGGCCCCCGAACCGTGTGAGTGGTGTGCCGAAATTGGTGCGGTGTCGCCATGCGGGTTATGCCATTTGGGCCGTCCGTGGAGCTCCCTATGGGTGCACGAGACGTGTGAGGGCGTTCGAAATGGACATGCGCACGGCTGATGCAGGGATGCCCATGAAAGGAGGGAGGAGGGAGGGGGAGGCGGGGGAGGAGGAGGAGGAGGAGGAGGAGGAGGAGGAGGAGGAGGAGGAGGAGGAGGAGGAGGAGGAGGAGGAGGAGGAGGAGGAGGAGGAGGAGGAGGGAGGAGGAGGAGGAGGAGGAGGAGGAGGAGGAGGAGGAGGAGGAGGAGGAGGAGAGGAGGAGGAGGAGGAGGAGGAGGAGGAGGAGGAGGAGGAGGAGGAGAGAGGACGCGGGGCCCTGTCTCTTCAGAACGAGGGCCCAATACTGCAGGACGCCCGGGGAAAGAGGCACATATCATCGGGGACCTGGGCCTGAAGAACTCGCTGCCCGAGGCCTGCGACGACCAGCAAGGGCGCTGCCCGCGCTGCGGGGACGTCCAGATGCCGCTCCTGTGCGGCGGCTGCGGCAGGCCGCAGGGCTCTGGGGGCGGCAAGCGCTGCGCGGCGCGCGCCGGCGCGCAGGCCAGCCCGACGCGGCGGGTGCGGGCAGCCCTGGGCGGCGGGCCGCCCTGGCGCGGCGGCGGCGGCGGCGCCAGCCCCGGCGCCTCCAGCGCCGGCGGCGCCAGCGACCGCTGACCACCGCTGGGGCTGCCGGCGGCGGCCAGGCGGCCAGGCGGCGGCGTCCCTGCGCCTGCGGCGCCGACGCCGGGCCGGCTCTGCCGGAGGCCTCGGGGCGCCAGTGCCAGCGGCGGCCGCTGACGGCAGCGGGCTCCGCCAGAGTCAGTGGTTCAGGATCGGGGCTCGAGGGTCGATGCACACGGGGGTCAGCCAGAGCGCCAGGTCTTGCAGGACCCTGGAGAGCCGGGGCTGCGCTGACCCGGGCTTGCGCGCAGGATGTCTTGCAGGATCCTGCAGCGCCGGACTGACCCGGGTTTGCATTGACCTGGGCCAGTGGGTCCCTGACAGGAGCTGGGTGAGCCGTGCTCGCTGCTCGCGTGGCGCTGGCGAGGTTATGATGGCCGCGGGCGGCCGGGAGCGGTGCCCGGCCGAGCCCCAGGGCACTCCATCCCTGGGCGGCTTCGGCGCTTGTCACGGCTGCTCTGCCACGCGGGTGCTGCGAGGGGTGGCCTTGGCCCGAGGTGCCCCCAGACGTCCCCTCGCTGCGAATGGAGTGTACCACGACGGGGTTCTGTTTGTCAGCGTCTTGTCTTTGAGGGCCCTCACGGGGCCTCTGGACCGTCAAGCAAGTGCTCAGGATGAAAATCCAGGCTTGGGGAGAAGGCCCAGACCTGTGGGGAACCACGTTACGAACAAATCACGACGTCGGAGGTCTGTGCCCCCGGCTTTTCCAGGGAGGCCCAGGTGGCTTCCAGAGCACCCCTCAGGAGCCCATGATAGAATCCCATGGTGCTAGAATGTCGCTGATAGCTGGGGGCTCCCTGGTCAACGACCACCTCTGGCAGCCTCCGATGCCCCCACTCTCTAGAAGGCTGCTCTCGCCCCAGTGATGCCCCTCGCCCCAACCAAACGGGGCCAGGTCAGCTGCACTGGCCCCAAACAAAAGCGGACTTGGAGGGAGAGAAGCAGGAGTCGGAGGAGGAGGGGAGAGTAGCTGTACAGGAGGCTGGACAGGTGCTGGCGACCGTCAGGCATCAGGTTGGGCGCCCCATGGCATCGAGGTGATGATCACAGGACTCCGCGGCTACGCTCGAAGAGGAGGAGAAGGAGAAGGAGGAAAAGGAGGAGGCGGAGGCGGAGGAGGAGGAGGAGGGTGATAAGGAATGTTGAGAATGATGGTGGTGGTGGTGGTGCTGCTGATGATCATGATGATGATGTGGATGATGATGGTGATTGTGGTGATAATGGTGGTGCTGATGGTGTTTACGATTATTGTTGTGATGGGGTCGTGTTGATGATGATGTCAGTGATGATGGTGATGATGCTGTTGATCCTGGCGAACATGCGGGTGATGGTCATGACGACGGTGATTCGGGCGACCATGATGTTGCTGATGCGGATGATGGTGATAATGGTGACGACGATGGTGATGATGATAATGATGGTGGTGATGGTGGTTGTGATGTTGATGATGGCGCTGATGATGATGTTGCTGGTGATGATGACGGCGATGAGTGCGATGCTGATGTCGGTGATGATGTTGACGCGAATGTTGATAATGATGATTGTGATGGTGATGGTGGTGGTGGTGGTGGTGGTGGTGGTGGTGGGGGGGTCGATGATGATAGTGACGATGGCGATGGCGACGATCATGATAACGAAATGTATGATATTGAGTGATGGTGACCCATGCGACTGCTGATGGACATGGTGATGCTGTTGATGGTGATGACGGGGTCAATGTGATGTTGCGTTTGCGATGGCTATGCTGATGGTGCTGACGACGACGCTGCGGAGGAGGCTTGTGCTGATGACGCTGATGGTGGCGGTGATCATGATAGTGGTGATGATGTTGGTTGCGATGGTGGTGATGCTGATGACGATGACGATGACAATGACGACGATGATGATGGTGATGATGAGTATGAGTATGAGTAGGAGGAGGAGGAGGAGGAGGAGGAGGAGGAGGAGGAGGAGGAGGGGGAGGGTGGATAAGGATGACGTCGATGACGATGGCCACGACGATGATGATGATGAGGAGGGGGAGGAGGAGGAGGACGACGACGACCGTTCCGGCGTTGACGCGCCGAGGGGGACCAGTCGCAGCCCGCCGAGAGCGAGGGCGGCATGATGGATTGGGCGTCCTCTATCGGGGTGCCCGCCCCCCGCTCGCACTGGTTGCGCCGGCGGGGATGGCGGAGGAGGAACATACTCTCCCTCCTTTTCCTGAATTATCCTCCTATTCCTACCGTTCCTTCTTCTCCTCCATTCTCCTCCTCCCCCTCCCTCTCCCTTCTTCTCCGCGTCTTCCTCTTCGGGGCTCCTGGATCGTTGCTTCCGAAGCTGGTGTTGACCCAGTATAGGCTGCTCGACTCACTGTGCGCCTGGGACTCGTGCTTGCGAAGCTGTGCGTTGACATCGTTGTGCGCGTACTCGCGGTATTTTCTCTGTGCAGCTCTCGCACAGATTTGTGTTCCCGAAGGTGGGAGCTTGGAGATGCGGCAGCTGGTCATATCACCGTTCGCTCCACCCGCATGCAGGTCTAGCGAGAGCGCGTTTGCTTTTCCTCATTCGAGCTCCAGCCACTTGCTACCGCGTAATTTCTTTCCTGCCCGTGGACGGGCCTCCTGTGCCACGAGCCCACCACCTCTCCTCGTCCTCCTCCTGCTTCTCCCCTTCACCATTACCTCCCCCTCCTCCTCCTCCTCTTCCTCCCCTTCTTCCTCCTCCCCCTCCTTCCTTTTTCGCCCTCCTCTTCCTTGCCAGTCGCAACTCTCCCCCGAAGAAACACACGACACTGACGGGACCAGCCGAAGTATGATGCAGAAAGGGTGGTTGAGCGGGGGTTGTCGAAAGCGTGACGAGTGGATTGTGCTGGGCCAATGGCCAGTACAGAGCCGCGCCCCTTCTGAGCTCTTTTGCCCTGTTTCCCCCCTGTCCCCCTCCCAGGGGGTGGGGCGGGAGTGGGCCAACTTCGCTCCAGGCTGCTGTGCGCTTCCATGCTGTGCTGGGTTCCTTTCTGTGGGCTCCCTGTCAGGGGATTCGATGAGTGCGAGGGGAAGAAGCACCCAGGAAGGAGGGAGGGATGGTGGTGATGATGCTGATGGTGATGGTGCTGATGCTGGTGCTACTGATGATGCTGCTGCTGATGATGGCTATGATGATGATGATGATGATGATGATGATGATGATGATGATGATGATGATGATGATGATGATGATGATGATGATGATGATGATGATGGTGGTGGTGGTGGTGATGATGATGATGATACTGCTGTGGCTGCTGCTGCTGATGATGATGATGAGGCTGATGGTGGTGATGATGATGCTGCTGATGGTAATGATGATGATGATGATGATGATGATGATGATGATGATGATGATGATGATGATGATGATGATGATGATGATGGCGATGGCGATGGTGATGGTGGTGATGATGATGGTGAGGAGGAGGAGGATGAGGAGGAGGATGATGGGTGTGATGCTGATGATGCTTATGATGATGATGACGATGAAGAGGAGGAGGAGAAGGAGGATTCAGATAAAACGGAGAGGGATGGAACGGGGAGGAAGAGGAGGAGAAGGAGGATGAGGATGAGGAGGAGGAGGAGGATAAGACGGACGGGAACGAGGAGGAGGAGGAGGAGGAGGAGGAGGAGGAGGAGGAGGAGGAGAGGGAGGCGGTCTGTCGCCTCCTCCTTGCTTTTCTGTCACACTCGTTGGTCATCGTGCACGCTATATGTTCTTCATGTCTGTTTGCGAGCAGACCCTTAGATCTTCATATCAGAGTCGGTGCAACTACGAGGAGAAGGAGGAGGCGGAGGAGGACGAGAAGGAGCAGGAGGAGGAGGAGGAGAAGGAGGAGGAGAAGGAGGAGGAGCAGGATGAGGATGAGGATGAGGATGAGGATGAGGATGAGGATGAGGATGAGGATGAGGATGAGGATGAGGATGAGGATGATGATGATGATGATGATGATGATGATGATGATGATGATGATGATGATGATGATGATGATGATGATGATGAGAAGAAGAAGGAGGAGGAGGATGAGGAGGAGGACGAGGAGGGGCCGGCGGACGCTGGAGAGGCCAGCGGCGGAGGGGGCACGCAGGGGCGGCGCACGGGTGCCGGGAAGGCCAGGGCGCACGGGTGCCGCGCGACAGCCGGCAGTTCCACAACATTCTGCCTTCCGGCTTCGACCTCGGCGGGGGCTGCGGTCGGGAGCGCGCGCTCAGCGTGCGTCGCGCCGCCGGCTCTGTGGCCCACCGGCGCCTGGCCCACCGCAGACCTCGGCGCGAGCCGCGGCAGCCACGTCTCGGCACCCGAGCACCAACACTGCCGAGTTTTCCCCGGCCTCCTGTCCCGCGAAGCCGAGCGCCACGCCCTCGGCTTCCGGGGCATAGAGCGCCTCAGGCAGGGGCCGCCGCCTCGACGCGCTGCGCAGAAGTGCCTGACCGTGGTGTGCCTCGGCCTTCTTCTTGGCATCGCCGCATCGCTCGGACGTGTGCATCTGTCTCGGCAAGGACCACCGAGGCGCATCGGAGGCCATCCTGCGAAAACGCACGCGCGGAACTGGAACATGCACGGGGAATGGACGCCAGAACGATGGCGAGTGTTGCAGCAAGTGGCCCCGAGGGGCTTCCCTGGCCATGCCTCTGGGCAGGGCAGGGGCCTCGGCCCGCCTGCTGCCACGGTACCCGCTGCCTCGGCTGGCCGCACCGGCCTGCTCCACGCAGAACTCTTCCACGTCTGGGCGCTTTCCCCCCCCCCCCCGCGCGCGGCCGCCCTCGTCTTCTTCCTTCCTCTTGCACGCCGGACAGTTTGCCTTCCGGTGGCCCCGAGCAGCCACACGCTGGAGCGGACTGCCTCTGCCTCGCGCCGCCGACGGAGAAGTGAGCAGGGCAGGCTGGCACGCGCTCGCTGGGGATGCTCGGCGTCCGCCGCACCGTCGGCCCAGGCGCCGCCCTTGAGCGCAGGGGGGGCGAATGCGACAGATCGGCCTACCACGAGCCGACACGGGCGCGGCAGAGAGGCCGGCGCTGTGGAGGAGCAGATGTGCGTTGCAACAAAACGGAGTCGTTTGCGCCGCCCGCGTTAGGTCGCTCGTAAGCGCCCTCGTCTCCACTGGCTTGCCGCGCTGGCGGCCCGCGTAAGCTGCGGCGTAAGGTTGCTGTGCCATCTCGCGCAAGAACCCTTTTTGATCGTCGCTCACATGGCACTCCAATCCGGCTTCCACACCGCGCTACGTAGGCCGCTTGAGACAGGCGCAGCCTCGCCCTGGGCGGAGGCCAGCGGGAGGCCAGGTGAAGCTAACCACATAGCAGCACAATGGCGCAGACAAG